CAAACTGGGTTCCGGGTCCCCGAGTTACAGCAAGAATGGCTCCCGCCAGATACCTCCTTAGAAGTTATTTCAAATACGCTCTCTCGCCAGGAATTTCTTCATAATTTCAGCAGAATGCGCGCTCTTGCGTGGGACTTCCTCGCATTGTATTCAGACGTCACGCCTTCAACCTTTCGGAATCGCGCTATCGCTCGAGACTTCCTCACGATTCATGCTCACGCTTCGGTAACCCGCCTGCTCGAGCTGGCCGCGTGGGCCCGCCTTCCCGACCCACCCATCAGGGTCTACCCGCCCGATCTGCCCGTCTGGTTCTGCCACGTGCTTTCTGCTCTTAGCACCCCGCCTGCTGATCTCACTCGTGCTCCATCCTACTCCCTCCCCCTTCCATCCATCCTTTCTTCCCCTGTTTTAGGGGCTGCGCCAACTACACGTGGCAGGTAGGGAAACTATATCCCCAAGAGGGGTACGACCGAACACGAAAAGGGCTGGTACCAAGGTTTTGGGATTAACGTGTTGAATGGCATGCGGGCGGAAAGGAGCGAACAGTGTTGAAATGATTGTTGATGTTGTTGTTGCTGGGGGTGTTGTTGTTGTTGTTGTTGTGGTTATGGTCGCTGTTGTTGTAGTGGTCGAAGTTGTGGTTGTGTTTGTTGTTTCTGCTGCTGCTGCTGTTGTTGTTGTTGTTGCTGGGAGTGTTGCTGTTGGTGGCGGTGAGTTCTCAAGGCTAAACAATAATTGTTGTGGATCCCTTCTCCTCAGTAGCCATTGCACGTTTCAGTTAGAGTGCTTCTCCCGTGGGTCGCAACCGGCTTTTCTAACAATGGAAATGGCGGTTTCACCAAACTGCGTCCTTGGCCCTCTGTTTATAACATCAACGGCTCCCGCTTGATTTTTCCTCACCATTTACTTGGGAATCGTGCTATCGCTCGAGCTCTCCCTGCGATTCATGCAGAATGCACGTTTCAGCAACCCGCGTGCTCGACCTGGCCGCCGGGGCCCGCCTTCCCAACCCGCCAATCAGGGCCTACCCGCCCGATCTGCCCGTCTTGTCCTGCCACTGCTCCTAGCCCCACTCCTGCTGATCTCTCTCTCGTGCTCCATCCTCCTCCCTCCCCTTTGTCATTTTTTTCCATCCGTCCTCTCTTCCCCTGCCGTAGGGGCTGCATGAAATACACGTTCCAGGTAAGAAAATATACTCGAAGGGGGAACGATCGAAGACGAAGAGTGCGGGTACCAATGGTTTGGGATATACGTGTTGGAAATGAGTGGCACGCCTGCAGAAAGGAGCGAACAGTGTCAAACTGTTTGTTGTTGGTGGTGGTGATGGTGGTGGTGGTGGTCTCGGTGCTGTTGCTGCTGCTGTTGTTCGTCTTCTTAACAAAAACCCAACGGTTACCCCTCAGGGTAAGCATGGCTCCAGCAAGCGCGGGCTTGCCCGACGGGGCCGGAGAAGGTGTTGGCACTGGGTCGGCGGCGGCAGGGGTCCCGCCACGGGGCCGGAGAAGGTGTTGGTACTGCTGGCTTGCGGTCTGAGGCTCCCGAGGAGTCATGCAGAGTCTCTTTGGGATCCTACGGGATCCCTTCGGAATCCGATGGAATTCTTTTCGGATCCTATGGAAGTCCTGGGGGATCCTTCTGGAATTCCTTTGGAATCCGATGGACTTCCTTCGGGGGAACCCGATGGAATCCCTCAGGAGTCCGATGGATTTGTTGAGGAATCCCACAGCATTCATTAGGAATCCCACAGCATCCCTAAGGATTCCTGGCGACCCCGCAGGATACCCCAGCGATCCCTACGTAAGGGATTCATTTTGGGAATCCCGACGCAATCCAATACGGATTCCTGAAGGATTCTTGAGGTATTCCTGAAGGACTCCCGGCGGATTCCTGAGGGATTCTTGAGGGATTCTTGAAAGATTCCTGTGGATTCGAAAACAGATTCTTCGAGGATCCCCGACGGATTCCTCAAGTGTCCTATGGAGGTCTCGAAGATTTTTCAGGACTCCTGAGGGAGTCCTGAAGAGTCATCAGAGATGCCTGAGGGAATTCCGAATGGATTCCTGAAGGATTCCGGAGGATTCCAAAGTGGCTCCTGGGGAGTCCTCAGGCATTCCGAAGGGATTCCTGAGGGAATCCCGAGGGACTCCTGAGGATTCCTGAGGACTCCTGGGGATTCCTTAGGGTCCCGAAGGATTTTTCCAGGATCCCTTAGTAATCCCGAGGGGCGCAAACACGGGGCCGCAGAAGGCGGCAGCACACGGAAAGCGGTTTCTGCGGTGGCCACAGTTTGGATGAAATGAGACACGGGGCGGGAGCGTACGTTTGTCCACTGGGGCGCGTCGCCGCCGCAGGGGTCCCGCCGCAGGGCCGGATGAGTCGTCGTCACGCAGTGAGCGCCAACGCAGAGCCCACGGAGCCAGAGCGTCCGCTGCTACACTGGGGTGTGACCGTTGAGCGTGCGGCCCCGTCCTCTGGCCAGCCCTTCCGTGCTTCCGTTGTTGAACATTATTACTTCTAAAGAATAATTATTGTTGGGACCCCTGGTACACGACCCCCCTCCAAAACCTAGGCCGCAGCTACATTTTCATCATTTTTTCGCGAAAGCTTCAGAAAAGTGGATTGTGTCCGGATCCGGTTGTTTTGTTGTAATCCGTTTTCCCTTGCAAAAAACACTATAAAATGAAAATTCTTGTTCTTACTTGATCAAATTGCAAGAATCCCTTGCAAAAAATAAGGTAAAGTGGACATTCGTGCGCGCAAGACGAAATCCTTCCAAAACCTTAGGTTTCGTAACGATTTTAACATAAAAACATCAAAAACCCAATGGTTTTTTAAGAAAAAATGTCAAAATGTCTTCCGCGCGCTCTTGCGGATTCGTAGGAAAACCAACACTTTTTAAACAATTCTGTCAAACGGGCTTTTGCGAGCAACTTTTTCGAACTTCTGCGACAACGGTTGCGCACCTGCCAGGGCCATCATCCCTGTCAAATAATACCATGCGGGACACATTCGTTTTTTCTTCGCGCGCGCACGCCGAAATCTCCAAAAACCATTGGGCTTCTTAAGAATTTTAGCACCGCGCATCATAAAATCACACGAATCGCACCGTAGGTCCTCGAAAAACACCTGCACGACTTTTCAAAATTTCCACCCGCGCGCGCTGTCCGAATCCTCAAAAAACCAATGGTTTTCCAACATTTATGTTACATGAGCTCGCGCGAGCTACTTTCGCACGCTCTTGCAACGGGGTTCGCGCGCCTGCCAGGGGCCAGAACTCCGCTCTCTCTGTCTCTCTCTCTGTCTGCTCTCTGTCTCTCTCTCTGTCTGTCTGTGTCATGTATTGTATGTCACAATTGCAGGATGCTGGGCACACGCGCGCCCCGAATAAGTGACCAAGTTCTGTGGGTGTGTACCCCACGCCAGTGTAGTAGCCACGGTCGTCCGCACGCCACGAAGTGAAGTGTCCCAACGTCATAGGGCGGGAAGCTGGGTTTGGGTGGTCGCGAAGAGTCGTTTGGATATTTGGTAGAGCTTGAACTGCCCCCCCACGAAGTGGGGGTATTGTCTCGCGTCGCATGAAAACCCTGGCACTGGTGAGAACACTGAGCGTTCGGGTAAAATGATTGTTGTTGTTGTTGTTGTTGTTGTTGCTGGTGTTGCTGTTGTTGCTGTTGGTGGTGGTGGTGATTGTGTTGTTGTCGTTGCTGCTGCTGTTGTTGGTGGTGGTGCTGCTGCCGTTGATGGTATTGTTTGCAGTGTTGTTAGTGTTATTGTTGTTATTGTCGTTGTGGTTGATGTTGTTGTAGTTGGTGGTGTGGGTGTTGTTGTTGTTGTTGTTGCTGCTGGTGTTGTTGTTGTTGTTAGTGTTGCTGTTGGTGTCGTTGTTTGTGTTGTTATTGTTGTTGTTGCTGTTCTTGTGGTGTTGGTGTTGTTGCCAATGTTGTCGTTGTTGCTATTGTTGTGGTTGTTTGTATGTGTTGTCGTTTCCTCCTTGGTACAGGTGCACCATTAGCGTTCCCCTCCCAGGGTCATCCTGACCCGTTTTTTGTAGGCGGATCCAGCCGCAGCGAGGAGCCCCATGGAGGACGAACAGCGCCCTGCGGGGACGCCGTTGTGTCGATTGGCCCTCCTCCGATTGTCCAGTCCGGCCTGATCATATGAAGTCGGAGGATCGCACCGCTTCGCCGATGCATCGACGAATCGGCTCGATGTGGAGCCCGATTTGTTCCATCCCAACGTCACTGCTGCACCGCCAACTTCGCCGAGGCATTGATGATGCATCGGCGGCGCATTCGCAACACAGCGTGGTCCTCCGACCTCATTTGTACCCGCCCCATTTTTGGAGGCCTCCGGTGGCAGCCCTGGGTTCCCTTTGGTTTAATAAAGCCCCACTCTCAATTCATTGACCACGAACATGCCAAAAATCACCATACCCAAAACGACCACTCTAAACTCGGCCAGGCATGCTCAAAAGCATGAGCGTATTGGATGCCAACGTACACTTTGACGCACGCCCGACGACCCCCCACACGCCCGCCTCACGCACGCAGGCCCAGTTTGCCCTCCCAGAGTTTAGAAAAGAATCCAAGGGAACCCAATGTTAGCCGACCAGCGGGGCCCGGAGGATCGACTGGCCCCAGCTGGTGCAAGTGTTGCACTTGGTCCTAACTGGTGCAAGTGGTGCAAACGATTCCCGGGCCATTCCGCATTACTGACCCAGGCGGTGTCAAGTTGTGCCGAGTTGGGTCATCGATAATTGGCCCCCCTCTGCGCCCCCACTGCAGTGTTCTCGAGCGGCGAACATGTCCGTATCCGCGCTCTCGCGGTCTGGATTCTGGGGCGCGCTCCCGCGGACACGTAGTCGCACGGATACGTTCCGCGCGGGGCACTCGCGAAGAAGCATCCGCGGGGTCGCGGCCAAGGGGCCTTGCCCGCGAGGCCCCGCATACGCATGTGCTTGTCGCACACTGCAGTGTTGGCCGACTGGCGCAACCCTGGAGGATCGAGATGGTCTCGCACGGGGGGCAGCTGCGCCGGTCCGCGAACGTGACGCAGAGGCACCCAGAGAACCCGCTGCGGCTGCCGGGAGCGCGCGCCGCGGCGGCCGCCGCTGGCGGCCGGCCCCCTGGAGCCGCGGGGGGCGCCACGCGTTTGTCAGGGGCCACGCTGGGGTCGGAGGCCCAGCGAGTTGGCTGGGATGACCGCGGGGGTTGCTAAGTGGATGAGGAAGTGGATGAGGAGGTCAGAAGAGGATGCCAAGGTGGTTACGCCTGGCCCAGCCTGGCGTGTAAGTAGTGTGAGCCGACGTAGTAGCGGCATTACCAAGTCTCCCCTAAGCCATTTAGGGCATGTGTAAACCAGTTGTAAGCTTGGGCCATATCTAACCACATTAGCATCCGCTCAAAGTCCTCTTATCCACTAGCACCCCCCGCAGTCATCCCAGTAGAGGCTTGCACCAACACCAATATCGGCGATTGCCCCCACCGAGGGAAGATGATCCCGATTTCGGTGATGGTGGTCATACTCGGGCATCCAAGGTGGCCGAAATATTACCACGGACGCCAAAATGTAGGATCGTCATCTGGCGGTTGAGGCAACCTCCTGTGTTGGTCTTGGTGCCCATTTCCAAGCCTCCATTCGGGTCCAGGCCTCCCAGATGGGATCCCAGCAGATCGGGTCCGAGGATCGCGTCTCAATGCCGATGCATCGGCGATGCGGCTTGATGTGGAGCCTGATTTTCTAAACGCCGGCGGCGCCGACGCATCGCCGACTTCGCCGAGGCATGGCCAATGCATCGGCGATGCATCAACGATGCTTTGCGATCCTCCGACCCAATCTGCTCGGACCCCATCTGGGAGTGGCCAATAGGGAGATGGGTTCAGGGGGGAAGTTTAAGGTTTTCCGCTTCGAAAGCTGAGGTTCTCTGGCGTTCTCCTCGGTTCTCGGCAGCTTCCCAGCCTCGGGGTGCCTTCCGACAGGTCGCGCCTCGCCGAGAGCGTCCCAGGGCTGCCCAGATTGTCCCGAACGGCCGCCAGAGGCCCTAGGTATGATTCGAAAACCGTCAGGGGATAGGCCCATGGGGGCATCGCGCCTTCTGAGGAGGATGAGTTCCCGAATCACACAATGAAGACGCAGCCTAACTCAGGTCCCCGTCTTTGATGGATCCTGAGTCAGGGTGGCTTGCTAGGTTCATGTTTCAGTATGCCCACGGCTTTGTTAACAATTGCTCATTGAAAACATCCATGCCGAACATAATGTGTTGATCACTTCTAGGCTTCATCAAGACAATTGAAGACGCTCGAGCAAGACGAAACTTGTTTGTGCGTTTTCAGATATGTCTTTTAGCGCCTTCAGATCAGTTGATTGCATTGATTATCATTGCCGTCTATGTCGTCCTCAGTTGTTCCTCCTGGCATGCAGCCCACCCTCTATTCCTAGCATCCTTACTTTTGTTTCTTTTGCTCTTCTCTTGCCCTTGCTGCTGGCTGGGGCCTGGCCTCCAGGCCCGATGGCCGATTGCCATCGGGCCATCGGGGCTCTGGGCCTGTTTCGGGGTGTTAGACAGCTGTAAGAGCTTTGTGAGTTGTTTGTTGCTTTTTTTTGTTGTTTGGTTTTTAGGTCTGAGCGGGAGAACTGCGGCAGAAACGAGAACGCGGGAGCGAAGACAGCAGGGAAGACAAGGAACAGCCTTCGACTCGAGAACAAGTAAACGCTAAAACAATGATGACCCCCAGCGACGGGCTTAAACACGCTGAACAAACGAAGCCGGCAACGCTAAACAACCGTCGCGTTTTTTGTTTGTGCGTTGTTTGCTTGTGAAGCGTGAAGAGCCCAAAGTGCAAAGCAGTAATAGGAACGCCCTGGGCGCTTTTAAGAAGAACCAAGGTGGTTTGGTTTGGTACATCTGCTGACCATATTCCCTATCACCAATACTTTGGTCCTCTTAGCGTAGGTGTGCTCCTAAAGGGTTAGAGGCCCCACCTAGCCTAGGGAGGGTGATCCCGACCTCTGGGATGGTGGTGATATTTGGTCTTCCATGGCGACCGGAAGTCATCCCTTGAGTTGGTGCTGGTGCTGCCCTCCAAGCCCCCACCAGGGGATCCGAGACCTCCCCGCGACGTGCACGTCACGACCGAAGTTTGTTGGCTGTTTTCGTATTTTCGGGGTCCTCGCCAGGCCCCAGGGTCGCCAAAACACAAGTCGGGTCGGAGAGCCAGCCCCCAAAAAGAGGTCCAGGCCTCTGGGGAACCACGTTGGGAAAAGGTGGCGTCGTCGCATGTCAGGGAAGGAGGGGAGGAGGATTTGGGGGGGGGCGCTGCTGGCGTCGTGGGGAAGCAGTGCCTCGCCATCAACGCGATCGTCGAACCGTATCCATCTTGGCTCAAGCCTTTCTTCGACATCCCGCTGGAGCGCATGAAATTTTCAGGACCCCTCGCGGCGTCTGTTGCGGCTGCAGCTGCAGACTTCGCCGCGGCGTGCGACGCGGCGGACGGCGAGGACAGCTCGTCTCTCCTGGCGACGCGCTCGCTTCCCATGAGCTTTGCGCAGGCGCAGCAGAACGTCAGCGAGCGGGGCAAAGGTTGCAAGTGCAGCTCGTCGTGCAACAAGCCATGATGGCACCGGAACGCGATCGACCCATGTAGCCCGACTGATTGTTCCAGGAATGGTTAGGGTTGCCTTCGGATCAGCTTACTGGGAGGAGTGCCCTTTGAGTGGAGCGCCCACAAGGGATGTTCTGGCTACATACGAATTGACGATTGATGTGAACGCACGCCGCAGCAAGCCCGTGCGTAGAGTCGGGTCATGTATCCAAGTGTTGCGTTATATGCATCTCTTATTAATCCCTGTTGCTCCAGTTCTCCGTCAGTTTACTGCGACCACTACTGCATCTACTTCTACTACTGATACTGCTCCCCTTATTTCTGCTACTGCGACTACGTCTACGACTACGGCTACTCCTGCGTCTGCTTATCACAATGCTCCTGCTGCTCCTCTGGTAGCATTAACACTGTTATGATTTTCTTATCTCTTTTCATGCTACTAATACGCTAACGTGCACCAGGTGAGCACCTCTACTTTCAAAGTGCCGGCGGCCGCGAATCGGGGCTTACCGCGGCCGGAAAATGCCCCGGCTGCGCCTCGCGTGGCGCCCAGGGCGCCTCGGCGCAGATCTCCCTCCTGGGCGCTCGCCGTCGTGAGCTGCGCCCCTCTTGCTTTCAGCTCGCGCACGGTCGGGTTATTCTCCAGGGTACTCACAGGAAGGGGAGCCGATGTGGCACAATCGCTGCGGCGCGCTCACCCTGTCGAAGTCGAAGTTGCCATCTCCACCCTCCCGCGCAATAATCCCACCCACCCGCCCCGCAGCCTGCTTTGCAAAACCCCTGCGGCGGCGATTTCGATGACTGCTTGGCGCTGGCTGGCGCTTTGCGGCGGCCGCGCTAGCGCGCAGGCTCGCGAGCAGAGCGGCCAGCTTGTCTGGCGCGACCGACGCGGCCGCGGTGGCGCTGACCGGTGGGGACTCCCCAGCGCGTTTCGCGGGCCGCGCTGACGCGCGGGCATCTCAGTGCGAAACGGTGGTTCGGGCGGGCGCGGTATTCTGGCGACGTCGACAATGGCAGACGAGATGATGATAGCAGCGATGCGTGTTAAGACGATGGTGATGGCGACGGCAAGGGCAATGACGACGCTGATGGCGATGATGGTGTCCACGCGTGGGCGATAAACGCGGCGGGAGGACTTGGACCTGCGCGCGCTGGCGACGGGCCAGAGTGGCCCGCATTGAATCATTTGACCAGAACCGTGCACCCCCGCCCTCCCGCCCCCAGCAAAGGGCGCAAAGGCGCTCGAATGATTTCGACACTCGCGCACGAGAGCCCCGCTGGGCCGCATTCGGTGAGCAGGTTGAAGCACTTACGCTTTTGCGAAAGAGTGCGCAATTACGCGTGCGCAGACTGTCTTGAACCATCGTGTTGCGAAACCATATTCCATATGTGTTCGGAAACATGGATCTTCAAATCCGTGTGAAGCCCAAGTTTGTGTTGCAATAATTTTGGCACACGCGCGCGCAACGACGCGCGCGTGCGGACTTTGCCCTGCATGGGGATCCTTGGAATTTGATGGCGTTTGCTAAACGAGTGCGCGCGCCTCTTTTCATTTGTCAGGAAATGGCGGGGGGATGGGATGATGGGCGGGGGATGCGTATTTGGCTGGGGTGATATAAGTTCATATTTGAGAAGAACGCTGGGGCAGAATCATTTGTAAGTGGTTTTATCCTACGGTGGGGCGCACATTCCGGAAGTAAGGGGAATCGTTTTCGCTACAGTGAAAAAATCTACGTTGTGCAAAGTATTTTGCCGAATTTAACGTTCGCACCCCCACCGCTCGCGCAATCATCCCGCCCACCCACCCCTCAATTTGGTGTACAAACCACTTGCGGCGGCGATTGCGATGACTTTTTGGCGCTGGCTGGCGCATTGCGGCGGCCGCGCTAGCGCGCAGGCTCGCGAGCAGAGCGGCCAGCAAGTATGGTGCGACCGACGCGGCCGCGGTGTCGCTGACCAGTGGGGATTTCCCAGTGCGTTTCGCGGGCCGCGCTGACGCGCGGGCAGTTAAGTGCGAGCCGGTGGCTCGTCTGAGCGCGGTATTCTGGAGACGTTGGCGACGGCAGACACGATGATGATAGTAGCGGCGCTGGTGACGAGGACAGCGATGATGACGGCAACTCCAGCGATGGCGTTGAAAGAGGGGGAACGTCTAAGAAGGCAGGGGGCTTTTTAAAAGGCCCCTCAGTTAAAAGACGCTTTCGTCGAAGACTACAGGCCCTTCTAAGAAGGCCCCTGCCTTCTAAGACACGCGCCGCCTCTGTTTAATGCCACCCCATCGCGCCACCCTATTGTGCGCGCCGTCAATTTACAATAACGAGCAGCCGCGCCCGCGGCTTCAAACATGCCTCAGCGCTCGCCCTGGTGGGTCTGGGCGCTCTCGAAGGCGCAATCAAGAGGTACACCCCGACGTCATCGTGTGTACGATGCTCAGACACATCGCGATCGCGGTCGTTTGAACTTCCCTGTGTTGCTCCACCTAGGCGCTGCGTTTGTTGGCCGCTCTTGGACGGGTGTGAGCCCCGTACCTCTTCGAGGGGGCCTCTGATCGGGATGAATCACTCCAGAGCGTTCTGGAGCGCTCCAGAGCGCTCTGGAACAGCCACGGCCGACACGTTCTCCAGAGCCGGCGGATCTCAGAGATCCCCGATCTGCCCCCATTGTATGGCCTCGTCTTGTGGTGGACTCGTGTCGTGTCGAAGCGGCGGCGACCTCAGCGCGGGCGTTCAAGGTCGAACGCCCCCAGCGGCCCAGACTCGGCCAGTGTAGAACGATCTGGCGGCCGAAAACCGAACAATCGTTCAAGGTCGAACGATCCACGTGGTGTCAGAAGCCAGCGCCAGGATTCATCACGACACGAACTTGCCGTAACACTCTTCCCGCCGCTGCCGCTGCCGCTTCGCCTCTCGATTCGCCCGCTTCTGAGCGCTCTGCTGCGCAGTGTGGCGCGGGGCTGCCAGGGCCGCGCAGCCTGCGCGGGCAGCTTCTTTGTCCGTGGAGTGGTGCGCCGCCGTGTCCAACTCCGCCGATTCCTCGAGGACTCGCCCTCTGACTCGACGTTCTCCGAGGTCCCCGAGCGGACCCAGTCGGCCTCGGGCGGTCGGCAGGGTGGAGGAGGAGGAGGAGGAGGAGGAGGAGGAGGAGGAGGAGGAGGAGGAGGAGGAGGGTCAGGAGGAGGAGGAGGAGGAGGAGGAGGAGGAGGAGGAGGAGGAGGGTCAGGAGGAGGAGGAAGAGCAGGAGGAGGAGGAGGAGCAGGAGGAGGCGCCTCGTCGGTGCCCACCAGGAGAGCTGCCTGAGCTCAGGCTCCTGCTGGGCGACCTTGCGCTGCCGCGTCCTCGACGGTGTGGTACCGCTCCTGCTCCAGACTGGAGCTCCAGCCAGCTGCAGGAGGCGCATCAGCTAAGAGATCTCCACCGATGGCTTCAGGGACCCTCAGAAGCTCTTGGGCACCTCAGTGCCCTGCAGGATCGACGCAGAGGGTGCCCCAAGGTTCCTTACGGCAAAGGTTCTTGTCGTGAGTGCCTTCTGCGGCAGCCGTTCCCCTGCGGGCCGTCGCTGCCAGGCGCTCACTGGCCAGACCCGGCGTGCGGGCATGGCCACGCCGTGCAAGCGGGCCCCTGGGCAAGGAACGCCGCTGGTGGGCTGGGCCCCTGAACGGCTCGGGCCTGCGAGTGGCCCCGCGGCGCACCGCCCTAAACAAGAGCAGAGGGCGCTGCTTGAGCCGAAGCGGCAACGCGAGGAGCACCTGCAGCAGCAGGACGACGGGGAGGACGAGAGGGGAGAAGGACGACGTGGGACCGGCCGGGCCCGCGGCTCCTCCCCCCTCTTCTCGCTTGCAGCCACTTTGACCAAAAACGTTAGTGGCTGGATAGTTCGACCGCAAAACCTCCTCATCTCCCTCCTCGTCCTCCTGCTCCTGCTCCTCCTCCTCCCCCTTCCCCTCGTCCTCCCCCTCAATTGTTCCATCCCTCCCTCTCCTGGTCCCCCTCCTCCCCCTCCGCTTTTGCAGCCATTTCGACTCGAGCCAGTCCGGGCTGGAGATTTTGATAGCACCTCGAGCCTTCCAGTCGCAGAGGGGGAGGGGCGTGCGCCGAGATGGCGAATTTCATGAAGCCGGAGTCGGCCCTGCTGAAAGCCGAGGCCTTCATCGATGTGCAAAAGAAGCACGATGCCCTGGAGGTGCTCCACCAGGCCATTCAGCACCGCAAGCTGAAGAGCCAGTGGACCCCCACCAGCGAGCTCATCATGGCTCCCCGGAGGGCCCGAAAGCATCATTATAGGGACGGTATCACACACCTCCCCACACAGGAGAGGGTGAGGCGGGGAGGGATGAAGGAGGCCGAGGGGGAGGGTCAGGGAGCGGGAGGAGTGCGTAGCACCCCACAGTTGCGGATAAGAGTGATGGGGCGGGCGCCGCGGGTCGGGTCGAGGGTTGGGGTCGACATCAACGAAGACGACAACAGCATCAACAACACTCATTTTGAGAATGTCCGCTCTTACTGTCACGCGTGTCTTGCATTCTGTAAACCCCAACCCTCGATACACGCCAAATTCGTCGTCGATTGCACTTCCTTTCGGGGGGAATATGTTCCGTGTCGGCCACTGACTGAAGTGCGAAGACGTCTCGAGCGAGAGCGCCGTTCCTGAGTTCGGGGGCCTCTCTGGCCAGAGGCTCTCGGAATACATATTGAGGAACATCGAACGGGAACCCTTGTCGCCGTGTCTGTGCCTTCACCAAGTTGCCTGAATTTCGAGAAATCTCGAGCGAGAGCGCCACTCTTGAGCTCGGGGGCCTCTCTGTTCAGGGCCCCTGGGAATACATCTTGAGGAAGTATCGTACGAGAGTCCTTGTCGGCGTAGTTTGGCTTCCACCAATTTGACTGGATCACGGAGCGAGAGTGCCGTTCTGAAGTTCGGGGGCCATCCTGGCGAGGGGCTGTCGGAGCAAATCGTGAGGAAGTAGCGAGCAGGAACTCTTGTCGTCGTGGCTGGGCCTCCGCCAACTTGATTGAATTGCGAGGGAGCGCACCGTATGTTGTACGACATAAGTTGTACCACGTCGAAAGCACCATACAGATAGCGCCACATTGCTTGCACATGAAGTGCCCCGAATAGATGCAACCACATGTTTTGTGAGAAACACATTGGTTTGGGACCACGCTCGATATCATGGTTTTGTAGAAATGAAAGCTCAACAACAAACGACAGACAGGCACCATTTGGGCCACGCAGTTCCATTTCAGCCACGCACCAGGAACACTGCATGACCATTCGGCCCCGTCGTTCTGATGATCAGGGGACGATGACGAAAGGGGGGTGGCAGTAGGAATACGATGGGGGCTCACATCTAAACTCCCATTTTGATTTTTGGTGCTCGAGGTTAAGCACCTCGAGCTCTGCGTGGAGCTGCAGAAGATGCGGATCGCCCGGGAGGGACTGTACCAGTATCGCACCATGTGCCAGGCTGTCAATGTCATATCGGCTACCTCCTGGTATGCTTCCCTCTCCCTCTTTCTTGCCCCACGCGTCGTCATCGCAGTCGACGTCGTCGTCGTAATAGTCGTCGTCGTCGTCGTCGTCGTCGGTCGTGGCTCGTCGTCGTCGTCGTCGTCGTCGTCGTCCATCCCCCCCGTCGGGAGAGAAACTGTGCGAGGCCGCGAACATTAGCTCACTCGAGAATGTCGTCAAGAAGTTTCGGATGGCTGCCGAGGAGAAGGTCAACGAGGCAAAGCGTCAGAAGGACATCAAGATGGCTGAGCTAGGGGACTTTGACGAGATGGAGTCTCCACAGACGATTCTCCTGCGATCCATTCAGCAGGGCGACACGCGCCAGCAGAGTCAGGACCGCGATGTCCACGTGCACTTCCGGTTTCTCTGGGACACGTACAAGTTGATCCTTGACGTGCTCAAGTCTGGCAACCGCCTGGAGGATGTGTACCACGAGACCTCCCAGCACGCCATGGAGTTCTGTCGCGCGAACGAGCGCCCCCAGGAGTTCAAACGCCTTTGCGAGACCCTCCGGAAGAATTTTGCCGATCTCCACAAGCACGGCGTTTCTGGAAAGGCCGCCCAGACTCAGGTGAACCCGTCGAACCCTGACACGGTGCTCCGGACGCTGGATACACGGACCAAGCAGCTGCAGATTGCAACCGAACTGGATTTGTGGCGCGAATCCTACAACATCGCCAATGAGATGTTCGAGCTCATGGCCAAGGTTCCACGCGTCAAGCCACGCCTCCGCTCTCAGTACTACGATTTCTTGGGCCAGATTTTCTGGAAGGCCGATAATCACCTCTTCCACGCCTTCGCATGCCTGAAGAATCTGAACATCACCAAGGCTGGCAAGCAGGACCTCAGCAAGGAAGAGTTGAGCCTGCTCGCGTCCAAGGCGGTGCTCAGCACGCTGTGCGTGCCCTTCCAGAAGGGAGGAGAGATGCAGATGCAGTCCCTCGAGCTCACGACCGAAGGTGCGTCCTCGCCGCACGAGAAGGCAAAAAAGCACGCCGTCCTTTTTCACTCCCAGACGGTGCCCACGCGCGAGTCTATCTCCTCCCAGTTGGTGGAAAAAGGCTTGCTCTCGCTGGCGCTGCAGCCCTGCAGGGACCTCTTTGACCTCATCGAATCGGACTTCACCCCGCTATCCTTGTGCCAGGACGCAAAGCCCTTGCTGGACCAGGTGTCAGAGTTACTGGACGGCAAGTTGGAGCAGTACATCGTGCCCTTGAAGCAAATCATCTTCTTCCGGCTGATGAAGCAGCTGTCCGACGTCTATGCCAGCATGACCATCGAGAATTTCGAGAAGGCAGCCTCCATCGTCTCGTTCAGCATTGCGGAGAAGTGGATGGCCAACGCCTCCCGACAGCACGGAATCAATATCCAGATCAACTACAGCGACAAGGCCATCGTCTTCGGTTCCCCTCGCAAGGCTGATATGAAGAGTATGCGTCAGCCGCTGATCGAGGTCGGCTACAAGCTGCAGCAGGCAATGGTGAGGGTGGCCCCCGAGGAGCAGCACAAGAAGGAGAAGCTGGAGAAGCAACAGCTTGAGAAGACCATTGTGCGGCGGATAGAGGAGGAGACCAAGCTCATCCGCCAGCGCAAGGAGGAGATCGAGCGGCGCAAGGAGGACAGCGAGAAGCGAAAGCAGGAGCAGCTCCGGAAGGACATGGAGAAGCAGCGGGAGCAGGAGGAGCGCGAGGCCGCCCTGGAGCGTGCCCGCCTGCAGCAGGAGCGCGAGCAGCGCGAGCGCGAGCGGGAGCAGCAGAAGAAGAGGGACGCGGAACGCGAGAAGAACAAGGAGATCGGGCGTTCGGTAATTGGGGGGCGATACATGGGGGGGCGTCGAGGGTTGCACGAAAGGGGCCCTAAACGAGCCCCCTGTGGCCCCGAAGGGGTACGAAAGGTGCATGAAAGGTGCACCTTTCTAACCCCCCCCCCATCTATCGCCCCCCATTTGTGAACGCCCGAGGAGATGCTCGAGGAGATGAAGAAGCAGGCCGAGCAGAACAATACGAACCTGAAGATCAACGTGTCTGGCGGGGGCAGCAAGAAGATCACTGAGGTCCACGCCGAAGACCTGGAGAAGATCTCCGTCGCGGACATCGAGAGGGCCCGCGAGGCGCAGGTGCTGCGCGAGCGCCAGGAGAAGATCCGCCAGCGCAAGCTGGAGAGCAAGCGGGTTGACCACCTGGCCCGTGCCTTGCGGGAGCAGGAGCTACCCTACCTGGACGACTGGGCCTACGACGTCGAGGAGCAGGACCGCGCATTCCTCGAGGTGGCCGAGGAGAGGTGCGCGGAGCAGCAGAGGAAGAAGCACGCGGAGGACCTCAAGGAAAAGGCCTTGATGATGGTCTTCGAGAAGGCGGCCAGGAGAGGACCATACGCACGCAGCACCCCGCAATCGCGGACAAGAGTGAGGGGCCCGGCGCGGGGAGGGTCGCGGGGGGGGCCCGGGGAGGGTAGCCGCCTGGGTCGCGGAAGTGGGGCGCGAGGGGTCGTGGGGGGGGGGGGGGCACGGCGACAACAAGCAAACACAACAGCATACAGGCAGAATCCGGGCCTCGGGGTCCCGTCTCACCCACGCGCCTTCGGATTGTGTAAGACCGCTCGGACCCCTCGCTCTGATATCGATGCCGCCACCCTTCCCTCGGCGCCACGGCGGGGTTCGCCCCGACGTTCTGGTCAGAACGCACCCCCTGGAGACGTCAGGGGAATCTGGCCCCCCGAAGGCGAAGGAGGCATGGGCGGCCGAGCTGCTCGAGGCCCGCGAGGAGGAGTACTTCGAGAAGGTGAAGGAGCGAGAGCGGCGGCTGGAGCAGAAGGTAGTAGACCTGAAGATCGCCAACGCCAAGAAGCGGTTCCAGGAGTACGAGAAGGAGATGGAGGAGGAGAGGGCGAGGAAGAAGCGCGAGCAGGAGGAGGAGGAGCGCAAGGAGGAGGAGCGCAAGGCCAAGATCAGGCGCGAGCGGGAGGCACAGGAGCGCCTCGAGCGCGAGGAGGAGGAGAGGAGGGAGCGCGAGGAGCAGGAGGAGGAGGCGAGGAAGCAGAAGGAGGAGGACAGGAAGAGGCGCGAGGAGGAGCGGAAGGCCCAGGCCGAGGCCGCAGACCGGGCCCTGGAGAAGCGCCTCGCGAGGGAGCGCGAGATCGAGGAGCGCCAGGCGAAGGGTGGCGAGCGGGAGCCCGACCGGCGGCCCGCCGCGCGCAGGGAGGAGGAGGGGGACGGCTGGCGCCGCGGGGGCGACCGCGACCGTGGCGACCGCGAGGAGCCCAAGGGCGGGGCCTGGCGCAGCGGCACGGCCGGCGACCGCGACGGCTGGCGGAAGCGCGGCGAGGATCGGCGGGTCCAGAGATAGAGGCGGGCGAAGAGCGGTGTCAAGGGGACACTCTTGCGCCGTCGGGGGCGCCTGTCCCAGGGCGGCTGGAAAGTCTAGACCCCTACGGTGGGACGTCAGGGTACGAACTTTCCGGCCGCCCTGGGACTGGCGCCCCCGGTGTCGGAACAGTTTGCTTTACACCGTTCTTCGCCCGCTACGAGATGGTGGCTCCGATCGGATAGGGGCCCTGCGGATAGAACGTGGGCCACAATGTCACTCAGCATCGACGAATAAAAAAGGATTTCTCTGAGCTCCGAGAGATCAGATTCGCGCGGATGCCTCTTCCTCTCCTGCAGCTCATGTGGAGCCTGGTCAGCTCAGGCACTCTGGCTCACCACGTCGCGCCGCCTGCTCTGGCCCACCACGCTTCGGCGCGGCACGCTGTCCACTTCCCAGTCCCCCAGCGTCGACGTCCCGAGCCTTTCCGCACCCCGCGCCCCGCGGAGCGACGCGAGACGCCATCCGCTTGCAGGGCATCGCGCGTCGCCGGCAAAAGTTCCTGCCCGTAGCAGCTCATGTCAAGCAGTGGCGAAGAGTCCTGGCGCGCCTATAGTCCTACTAAGCCATGTTCTAAGAACCTTTTGTGGTTCCCACGAAATGTTCTTAGGACATTTCTGTTTGGGACTGTTTTGTTTTATCACATCGGGTTTATGTTCTAAGAACATGGTTTTTGTTCCTAGAACATTTTGGGTTCTGAGAACCTTTCGTGGTAGGACTATAGGAATGCCGGGACGGCCGGTCCTTACTCAATCATGGGAGTATTCCATGTCTTCGGAGTTCCGTCTTCAGAATGCACCAGCGCGCGCCAGCGCTTGGTAGTCGATGGGGAGGCGCCGAGGTAGCATCGATGAGCGTCGATTTAGCGCCGATTAGCCTCGATTAGCGTCGGTTAGTGTCGAGTCGCAAGAGCCAGCGAGATGACATGGGAGGCTCCAGTGATTTGCCGCAGATAGATGAGGCTTCGCTGCTTGTGGCTGTCGTCCTCGGTACTCCATCCCTCAGGGCCCCATCTGTCGAAGAAGAAACAACTGAACATGCATAGACTTTCGGAGCTCCGCGCGGATTGCTTGGATCGGCGCTGGGCCCTCCTCCTTGGCGTGCGGAGCTCGCGAGGGGGCGATCCAAGAAAGCCTTGCGGACCGTCGAAGGCTTATGCTCATTATGTAGTTTCTTGCCCTCGGAAATTCGAACCGCCCAGTGGTTCGGGATGCAGCCAACCTTGATAGTAATGATGAGCGATTTCTCGGCCATTCCGGCTGGCCGCGTCCCGCTCGAGAGGTGTCGGCATGGCCTTCCAAGGCTCTTGTATCCTTACCGCGCATCCTTATTCTGCGGTTCGAATGTGGCCCCCTTGAGAGGCAGCGGATTATCCCTCCTGCCTTGCTCTATCTTGGGGGGCCATATATCATATCGCCGCGCCGTTTGTTCGGGCGGCTCGGCCACCAGGGCAAACGCCGCCTCGGGCGCAGGGCCTGCCGTGGGTTGGCCGTGGTGTCGGTTTCGTCAGCTTGGGCGCGTCGAGAACAGACGGCACGGCCACCTATCCGAACTGCCGAGAGGACGACCGCGCCGGCGACCGCGACCGCGGCGGCGGCCGCGACGACGACGCGGGGGCCTGGCGCCGGGGCCCGGCGCCCGGCGCCAAGGACGAGGGCAGGCCCGCGGTGGCCCGGCCGGCCGCGGGCGGGTGGCGCGACCGCCTGCAGGAGAAGGACGCTCGGAGATCCGGGCGTTGCAGAGACAGGCATGCTCGCGCCGCGAGCAGAATCAGGGCGGGCGGGTCGGGCCGTTTTCGGCCTCATGGGGGGGCCCAAGGGCAGTCAAAATCAAGCAGTGGCGAAGCGTCCCAGCTCGCCTATAGGCCCACCGAAGAATGGTCTAAGAAGTATTTCTAGTCTGCACGAGATGTTCTTCGAACATTTCTGGCTGGGGCTGTCTTGTTTTACCACATCGGGCTTATGTTCTAAGAACATTGTTTCTGTTTCTCGAACATTTTTGGGTTCTACATTTTGTGGTAGGCCTATAGGACTGCCGGGACGGTCGGTCCCTGCTCAACAAAAAACGACTCAGGATGGAGAGCTGGTCCCGGGAAAACGGTCGGGACCTCCAGGGATCGCGCATTCGAAGAAGCAGGACGTGCATATATCTGGGAAGGTCTCACCACGGGCGATGTTGCCTTGTTCTGGACCCCGGGGCCGTCACAAGTCGATCTGGCTTTGAACATTTATGCTTCCTATAGATGGGGTCGAAGCTGATGGGGTCGGAGGATCGCGCCGCATCGCCGATGCATCGACGATGCGGCTCGATTGGAGGAGCCCGATTTTCTCCACGACGGCGGTGCCGATGCATCGTCGACGTCGCAAGCGCACCGCCGATACATCGACGGGCCCAGAGAGGCGCAATAAGTCGGCACATATTCCAGGATGTTCAATATTGTGGCGTATTTCTTGGCCTTCCCTTTTCGGTTCCGTGTCCAGTATGCCTTCAAATTTTCATAGACATCAGCGTTTCTTTGTGTCTGTGTTGAGTTCCCCCTTCTCAGAGGACCCTGAGATCCAGTCGTTGCTCTTTGTTCGCCACGGGCGATTTTGCTCTTTTCCGGGCCCCAGGGCCATCGCAGATGAGGCGTTCCAAATAGAGCGCCACGCCTTCGAGGGTCGAGGGAGTGTTCACCTCTTCCTCGGCGGAAAGTGGCGGAAGAGCGGCGGACGTCCGCGGAAGTAAAACGAGGCTGCCTCCGCCGGCGGAAGGCCGGCGGAAGTAAAAGTCGGCCTCCGAATGAGATGGCCACGTGCTTGGGTTCAGGATCTCCGGAACTGGCCAGCTGGCTCGAAACATGGCGCAGAGAGCCGGGGTCCAGGGCTTCGGTCGTGATTTGTCGCGCTTGCTGCCATGCTGTCGCATCGCCGGATCTCTCCGCGAGAAGGAGCAGCGCGAGCGGGACGGCGAGCGGGAGCCCGACCGTCGCGCCCCCGCGCGCAAGGAGGACGTCAAGGGCGGCCGAACCGACCCTTCGCAAGAGATCCCCTTCCGTGACGTGCCCCTCCCCTCGCCCCGTGCGCACGGCGTGTGTGTGCGCGGCTGGGGGGAGGCTCGAAAGACGCGGGCGGCGCCACGGAAGGGGCTGGCCTGCTAGGGGTCGGCGAGGCCGCGCCCGAGGACGACGGGGACACTTGGCGACGCGGGGGCGACCGCGAGCGCGATCCGCCGAGGCGGGAGGAGCCGCGCTCGACGAAGGGCGACGAGGGCGGCGGCTGGCGGCGCGACCGCGAGGAGCCGAGGCGCGAGGAGCCCAGGGCCGAGAGGGCCTCTGCCTGGGGGCGCGGCAAGGATGCCGAGGATCGGCGGCGAGCGAGGGGGGGAAATGAGAAGGAGAAGGCCTTCTCATATAGGGCGGCGGGACTTCTCAGAAGCCCTCCGGCCTTCCGAGAGGTTTTCCGTGTCTTCGGGGAGGGAACTTCTCAGAAGGCCTGGGGGACTTCCGAACCTTCTGGGAAGGCCCGCCCCCTCTTTTTTCCCCCCCTGGCTGGCCGCCGAGAGGAAGCGCCGGCGAGGGCCCCCGCCGCTCGCCCGGACAGGAACCGAGGGATGCAGCGCGCTGACCATGGCCAATCGGCGACACGTCGAGTAGGGGGTCGACTGCAGAATTGATGTTCCTCAGAATGCCCCGTAGATCTTCGAAGCATTATACGAATTCGTTCGTAGATTCGCCGGGGGACCCCCCCTACGCCACTACGTAAGAGTGCCCTTGCCGGAGAGACCCTTGGTGCAGGCACCCTGGTGTCCCCAGATGGCTGAACGAGATGCGACAGCAGCGGCGTGCGCGCTCCAGTTCGGCCTCCCCGCGGCCCCTGAACATCGCGCACCAAAGGGCGCCCTTGCCCAGGGCCACTCTGACGTGGAGCCAGCTGGAAAGGGGCCACGAGTCCTGAGGCTTTGTGCCAGCTTCCGGGCTCTCGGGCCCCTTCACGGGCCCAGGGGCGGTCAGAAGACGACTCGGAATGGCGATCTCGTTCTCGGGGGGAAGGCCTGGGGTCCAGGTCCCCTCCTCTGCCTCGCCCTCCTGCATGCTGAGACGAGGCGCTGTAGCTGTCGCGGGAGTTTGTCGACGCAGCCTCGGTGATGCTTCGTGCCGGCCGTCGCCGAGTCGCGGGACTGGATGCGCGAAGTGACGGTGACCGGGATGGACGGTGACCAAGATCGGCACCGCCGATTCCGCGGCCGTTCTCGATTCTGATCACGGGGTTCTATCGAAGGAGGAGCATTTCTTTGCTTGGCGCTAAGCCCCTCTGGCGCGCGGAGCGCGCCATGGAGGGGGCCCGGCGTCGATTCAGGAAATCTGGGCGGCCCGCCGCAAACCTATGCTTGTGATGTGTCGTGCTCCTCGAAGGAAGGAGGAGCCAGAGGAGGAGGCTCCGCGCCGCAAGCCGCCGCCCGCGGCGGAGGAGGAGAAGGCCCCAGAGCCGGCAGGGCAGGAGGAGGACGACGACGGTTTCGCCATGGTCACCAAGGGCAAGAAGAAGAAGCCCGCCGCCGCGGCGGGCGACGCCAGCGAGCGGCGCCCGACGCCGCCCTGGAAGAGGAAGCCCAAGTGAGGCGCCCCGGTTGCCGCCAGAAGTCCCGGATCCGAACACGCCTCGGGCGAGTCACCGCCGCCCCTTTTGGCGGCTTCCTCGAAGCCGCGAGACCTGACGCTGCGATTTTTCCGCGCGGGGCGATTTCACACTACCTCGGGCCCCAGGACCCTCGCAGATCGATCTGGCTCGGGGTCTAAGGCTTCGGTCATGACTTCTTCGCGATGTTGCACTTTGTCGCAATGTCGGATCTCAGGGCTGGCTTCCTTGATGCATCGTGGGGCCCAAATCCGGGTTCGAGCTGTCGAAGAACCAAAAGGGGGGACCCGCATCCGTTCCTGAAGCAGTGGGTGGAGCATCGAGGAGCAGTGCCCCATGCTGCCTCTCGCGTATGTTTCAGAAGGGTCGCGCCCTTGGTGCGCACTTCTTTGATCAGCGACGAGCTGGGTCCAGCAGGCGGTCGTGCTGGCGGCAGGGCGCGTCCGAAGCGAGTTGGGCACAGGGGCGGGGGAAGGCAGGAGGAACAACGGGGGGGTGCGAGACGGTCAGAGCACCCTCAGAACCGCGTGCTCGAGGCCGTCAGCGCGGGGGGTCAAACCAGGTCAAGCCCCGGCATCCAGGGCGAGGATGACGAGTCAGGCGAATGCCAGTGCAGAGTTCCAGTATGGAGTGCGACCACACGTTTCGCCAAAGCGCAATCCAGGGAACGGAACCACAAGCGACGAAGGGCAGCAATCGGTCACAGAAGTCGTGATGAGTGGCGGCCAGGGTCGGTGCCAGACGACTGGAGTCCACCAAGAGGACAGACGAGAGCAAGTGAAGGAGCCAACACAGTGGCGGTGTGTGCGCATCGCGCAGAGAACCAGGGAGCTGAACACGACGCAAAATGAGCGTGGCCGCAGCTGCGCGGCAGCCTCCAGGTCGTGGAATTGTTCCTCGCTGATCGCCTCGCCAAGCTCTGCATTGGAGCAGTGGCGCAGCGCCCGACAGCCGCGCAGCAACGTCGTCGGTGCACACGGAATTGGCGTCGTTTTGAGACGACGTTCTTTCTCCTCCTGAATCATTGCCGCCACGGCCCGGATAACAGGGGGGCAGACATACACAGGGAAGGTCATGGACAACCATCGAAGTCCAGTCGCGGGTGGAGCCTCCAAACGGAGCGCGCAGTGTCCAACGTCTAGATCCACGTGGGTGGCCAGGGGACTTCTGGGAGACACATCTGTGCTTATCCCTGGGCCATCTCGGATGCATGCCGGGCCAACCGAGGCCACCCAGAGTCTGTTGGGCAAACATGTGTTCTAGAGCCGGCAGCTTTTCTGTTCGCCATTACCTTTCATCGCGTCCGCCATCCTGGCCATCTCGGACGTTCCTGACCTCCTGTGGCTCTCCTTTCCAACCTGGCCCCACAGCATCCACCTCGGGCCCCCCTAGCCACTGGCCCTCCCCGCCCCGCTCTTGGGGCGGAGCCCTTTATTGTCGTCGTCGTCGTTCGTAGTCGTCCGCCTTCGGGACCATCTCGGACCTCCCTGACCAGGCCTCCCGACACTAAACCACCCCCTCCTTCATTCCCAGCGCCCTGCCACAGAACTCTTCATCAACTTGCACTCTTGTGTTGCAGAGCTTGGATCCCATTATTTTCTTTGCCGTTCGTCGTCGCCCACATCCCTGACCATCTCGGTCGACCCTGACCCGAGGTTGTCCATGCCAGCCCCGACAAGCGCGAAAAGACCATGACATGGCGCCACAAGAAATGCCAAACTGTCGCAAGGAGGCTTCAGGATAGCCCCAGAATGATCCCCCTCCTCGTCCCCTCGTACAAGAGCCAGGGCACATGTGCCGCGTGTGTTCGTCGTCGTCGTCGTCCTTCCCTGTCCCCCCCCCTTTACTTACCCTGCTCCTCCTGTCCCTCGCCGCTCACTCATGCAAGAGCCAGGGCACGCGTGCCACCTGCTGCAGGCCAGGAAGCCGTCCTGGACCGCCTTGGAGCTATCTTTCAGCCTTCCCGGGGCTCTCTGCTACATTCGCGGGGGCAGTCGGGGCCACTGTGGCTGTCTTGAGGTCGTCCAGGGGCATCTCGGGTCATCGTGAAATCTTGAGAGTCTCGTGGATCTTGGAAGCAGATCGGCCACCTTGGCGACGATCTCTGGGGGGCATATTTGGGCTATCTTGGACAACGTTGGAGTCTTTGGCCATGCTGGAGGTGTCACCCCGGATGACTTGTCAGAGCCATGCTTTTCCACTCTGGGAACGAGGCGCTCTTGTTGAGAGGTTCTGTAGAGGCATGTGTATTCTGCGATCGCGCGTGAAGCCCGCCTGCGGCTCAGATCAGAGGGACCGTCGGATGGGGCGGGCGGGGGCCGAAGCCACCGCCGGGGGGAGGGACGCGCGAGGGGCGGCTCGAAGTCCACTTGCCGCGATCCAGAACTGGCCTCGCCCCTCGGCGCGTCTCTCCCAAGGCGGCGGATCCGTTGGCGGCAGGTTGGCGGATTGGCGGCGGAAGTGAACGTGAGGCGTCAGCACGTCTTGGCGCCGGGGCTTCCTGGGATCGGCTATGGCGTCGTGCTCGTTTAGGGGACCCTCTCAGGGGGGGCCACAACGGATCTGTTCGACTCTAGTTCGATTCCAGGTCGACTCGTGTGCGGCTCCAGTTCGACTCCAGTTCGATTCTAGTCGAGGGACGTTCGACGCAGCATCGAAGCGTGAGTGGACCGAGTGGCCCGAGGAAGATCGCCAGAGCGAGATTTTAGGCATCGGTGTTCTCTATGTGCCAGCGGCCCTTAGTGTGAGTGAGTTAGCCCCTCAATGGGCGCCCGTCCATGCTCGCCCAGCCTGACACCCGCGTCGCACCTGCGGTCGCACGGCTCGCGGAACTTCGTCCCGAGGGGTTCGATGTATGCACGACGTCGTTTGGTCGGCCAAGTAGCCAATCAAACTGGCGAAGGGCTTTGGTGTATACACGTTCCAGAATCTCTCAGGCTTGGAAGTTGGGGCATCTACACACGCCGAGACCCTTGGTCGGCCAGACGACTTGGTGTACTCTTTGAGCCCCTCCCATGGGTGGTGCACCAGCGCTGCGAGCTCTGTGGAACAGGCGGAGCGTGCTTGGCGCCCACATAGTGGCTAGGAGCGCCCAAACCGCGCGTGGTGTTGTTATTTTTGCTTCCTAAGTCTGGCTACGCGTAATAGTGACCCTTCACCAGAGTGTCCTTTGGTGTGGGCCCGCTTGGGTTCCTCCCCCTACCTCGGAGTGCGATGCGATAGCAGCGGCTTTTGCGCTTGGATTTGCCCACCTCGCGCCCCCTAAGCCGCGCACCGGAGGGCACTCCTGCCTGGGTTCACTCTTGCGTGTAGCTGGTGGGTGGCGGCAGGTTCCTTGTCTGCTCCTCATTGTGTATGCTCGAGCCGCGACTGGTGTCTGATACGAGTGTCGTCGGTTGGTGGAGGTGTGACATGCGATTGCGTGACCCTTCTCTGCTGGATGTTGATGTCCTTTCTCCTCGCCCAGTCGTCGGCTTCGGCGTACGGCATGCAGAGTCTGATAGGATCAGGCATGTCGACCGCGACAGGAGGACTCTGGTGAAATCCTTGCAGTACAGCTGTCCTGCGCGGATAGGTTTCCACGAGCGCACTGCGGCGCCCATTTTGTCGCAAGACCACGCGGCGCTCGTGAGGGTGCAGGCGTCACGCAACACAATATATGCACACTTGCACTCTAGGTTATGCTCTCCGCTCCTGGCTTGCAGGCTGCAGCTGCAGCTGCTCTAGCATGCCCTGATCAGTCCGCCTCGTGCATTTTGGATCAGTCGCGAGGTGGCCCCTTTCTTCAGCCTCCCCCATCTCCTGGTCCTGATCCCTCCTCCTTTTTAGCACGCAGCTCCTGGGAGGTCAAAGTCAGCATCCGTGGTCGAAAGTTGGCCTAATGCGGCACATAATCTTGTCTAATTTGGCTCAGTCCCGCTCAATCCAGCTGAATCCTGTCGAATCTGGCTTACTCCTTGGCCATTTGTGGCCTGCTCTTGCTCAATGCCTCAATGCCCCCCCCCCCAATCTGGCCGAATAGCCTTGTTATCACTCCTGCGAAGAGCTCTCAGACGTTGCCTCATAGCATCTCCAGGCCCTCATCCCTCTCGAAGGATAAGAAACCTGCGTACCCGTTGGTCGTTGAAAGTAGGTATTTCTGGATGCCCAAGTCCTAATCTACGTTTGGCGCCTTCCAACTATAAGAGTCGAGTGGTGTTTCCCTCTTCCCTCCCATTCAGCGGGAGGGTGGAAGCCCAATCTATCTTCAGCGCCTTCCCGAGTCCTGTTTTTACCAATTTCTTCCCACCGACGGGTAAACACAGTTTCTCTCAATTCCGCGCGGAGTTCCTGGCGCGGCCCTCGGCGCCGCCTTTCCCCGTTCACCCTTGCCGTCTCCCCCGCCTCCGCCTTCCCCATTCGCTCCCCTGCTCTCCGCAGTCTCTCCCTCCTCCCTCCCCCTCTTTGTGTTTCTTCCCCTTACCGTCCCCATTATCGCCCTCCCCGTCCACCTCTCTCTTCTCCCTCCTCCACATTTTCTCCTCTCCCCCTCTCCCCTCCCCATCCCCTTCTACCCTCCTTCCCTTCCGGGGTGCCATTGTGCGGAGGGAAGAACAAGGAAGAGGAGGAGGAGGAGGAGGAGGAGGAGGAGGAGGAGAAGGAGGAGGAGGAGGAGAAGGAGTGTGGGGGGAGGGGGAGGAGGATGAGGAGTAGGAGTGGGAGGAGGAGGAGGAGGAGGAGGAGGAGGAGGACCAGCGGAGTAGGATGAGGAGGAGGATTCTTCTCCTGATTTTCCCCCTTCCGCACATCCTCCATGTTTGGTAATAATCAATAGGGGGCTAGGTATTGACGCCTCGAGTATGCCCATCAGCCCATTCAGAAACGATGCCCATGCGAGTTGTATTGGTCAGGGAAGTGCAGCTGTCATAACGAAATTCGGCATCAGCCTGAGCAGACCCATGAGTCACCCGTACAAGCGCTTTCGGATCTTTCGATCTGGGAGCCTCTCTCTGCAGCTTACTAGGGCCACTCTGGAGCCACTTCCGAGACCTTCGGGCCAGTTCCTGAGGTCCTCTTGAGAGAAATGGGAGAACATCGATTAGACAATGACGGGATGTCTCAGTGAGCCTTTCTCTTTTGGAGCTCGAAAAGTATTGGGGCTATCTTGGGCCTCTCTTGGAGCTCCATGGGGACATCTTGAAGGCATCTTGAGGTCTCAGAAGGCCATCGCACGCGAAACGGTGGCACGGTTGAAGTCATCAGCTGTGCTAAGATTGTTGGAATGGATTCTGCCTCTCGGGAGCGTCCTTGCCAGGCTCCGTGGCCACTTGGAACTGGCTCGGGGCGGTCTCTTGGCCCTGCTTGGAAGCATATTTGAGGACGTCTAGAGCCAGCCCGATCAGCTCGAGCTATCTGGAACCAGATCAGAGCTACCTTGGCCTAAACGCAACTTTCTTCCTTTTTCCTCTCGCTTCGCGGGGTGCACGTCCGGAGCACGTGCTGTTCAGTCGTTGCGGGGCTTGGTGGGAGAGAGCCTTTTGGGGCCTCTTGGAAGCTTCTTGAGGGCGTTGGGGCCTCCCGTGAGTTTGGTTGGGGCCTCTCGCGGCCTCGTGGGGGCGTCTTGGGCCAAGATTGCAATCGATGTGTGCACTGCGCAGGTGGAGAACACGTGCAGCCCAGTCGTTGCGGGGACTCCTGGAGGCCTGTGAGGGGCTTCTGGGAGGCTTCCTCAGGGCCTCTGCGGGGCTTCTTGGGATCCTCTTGGGTCTTGGGGCCCCTTAGGCGCGTCTCGAGCTGTCTTGGGGCGCTCTTGCGCTGCGCGGTCCCTTCAGAGGCAGGAGGCAACGCCAAGCTCAAACTCCGATGAGCCTGGCAACAATGTGCCATTCGTATACAACCCCGCGGGACTTTGGGTGGTATCTTGGGGCCTCTTGCGGGCCTTTTGGAGGCCTCCTGGGGGCCTCTTGGGTGCCTCTTGGACGCATTGAGGGGCTTCCTGAGGGCCTCTTGGGAGCCTCGTGGGGCGTCTTGTGCCGTCTAGGGACGCTGTTGCTACATTTTGCCCTTTCGGAGGCCGTCCAGTGAGCCTCTCGCGGCCGCTTTCGGGCTCTATTGGGGTTCTCTTCGGCCGTCGTTGAGGCTTCTTGAGCAGTTTTGAGGGCCTCGTTAATTACGTTGGGCCATCATGGGCCGTCATGCAGCTCTCTTGGGGGCTTCTTGGGTCGTCTAGGGGCCTTTTTGGCGGGTGTTTGGTCCTTCATGGGGCTCTGAGCCGAAAAAGGCGGAACGCCCAAATCCTTCAAGCAGTTACGGGAAACCAAAGCTTTGGGTCTCTGTAGGCGCTTTTGGGAGTCCAACTTGAGCGTTCTTGGGCCTTCGTAGGTGCTTTGTGGGCCCTCGTGGGGACATCTTTGACCGTTGTGGGGTCGTCTTGGTCCGACTTCAGGCCCTGTTGAGCAATTGTGCCGCATTGTTGGACCCACAAGATGCCCAAGGGGCCAACATCAGTTATGTTTTATCGTGTTTCCCCAGCCATGCTGTGATGTTGGGTTCTCGTTTTGAAGAGACGGCGCCCCGCGTTCCTCCCGCCTCCTTCATTCCCCCCCTCCCTTATCCCATCCCTGCCTGTGCTCCCCGCGTGCCGTCATCACGATCACTATCGTCATCATCGTGATCACCATCGCAATGGCCAGCGTCATCAACATCGTTATCGCCAGCATCGTGGCACACGCCTCACACCGTTCGTGGTGCCCACACAGGGAGCTCCACCGAAGGCCACAGTGGCACAGGTGGCATCGGTCACCGCTACGCATTTTGCACCCCTCACATAGTTCGTGGCCCCACTGGGAGCCCCACCGAATGCCAGATTTGCAGAGTCCACATGGCGGCGCCGCCCCATTTTGGCGCACCCCTCACGCGGCTCGTGGCCCCGTTAAGAGCTCCGGCAAAAAAACGGCGACCGGAAACGGCAACAAAAACGGCTCCAGGATTGGAACCGGAGCCGGAACCGGTCAAGAAACGGCGACGGAACCGGTAAAAAAACGGCGTCGGAACCGGCAAAACAACGGCAAAACGGAACCGGTAAAAAAACGGCCTTGTCGTTTCCAGGGCCCAGGGTCCACATGGTGGCGCCGCACCATTTTGGCGCACCCCTCACACGGTTCGTGGCCCCATTGGGAACTCTACCGAAGGCCCCAGTGGCAGGGTCCACATGGCGGCGCCGGCCAAATTTTGGCGCACCCCTCACACGGCCCGTGGCCCCATTAAGAGCTCCACCGAAGGCTCCAATGGCAGGGTCCACATGGCAGTGCCGCCCCATGTTGGTGCACTGCTCACACGGTTCATGGCCCCATAGGGAGCTCCACCGAAGGCCCGATTTGCAGGGTTCACATGGTGGCGCCGCCCCATTTTGGCGCACCCCTCACAGGGTTCGTGGCCCCACAGGGAGTTCTACCGAAGGCCCCAGTGGCAGGGTCCACATGGCGGCGGAGCTCCACCGAAGGCCCCAGTGACAGGGTCCGCATGGCGGCGCCGCACCCATTTCGGCACACCCTTCACACGGTTCGTGGCCACATAAGGAGTTCCTTCGAAGGCCGCCCCATCTTGGCGCACGCTTCACACGGTCCGTAGTCCCATAGAGAGCTCCACCGAAGGCCCCAGTGGGTCCACATGGCGGCGCCGCCCCATTTTGGCGCACCCCTCACACGGTTCGTGGCCCCATTGGGAACTCTACCGAAGGCCCCAGTGGCAGGGTCCACATGGCGGTGCCGCCCAAATTTTGGCGCACCCCTCACACGGCTCGTGGCCCCACAGGGAGTTCCACCGAAGGCCTCAGTGGCAGGGTCCGCATGGCCGTGCCGCCCCATTTTGGGGCACCACTCGCACGGCCCGTGGCCCCATAGGGAAGAACATGAAAACATAACGACCGCGCACGGGGTTTGGGCCACCGTGGGCCCCCCTCCTCCGTCTCATATCCGTGTCGGCATTCGCGGCTGCACATGGTTGGGTCCTTCGTCAGGCTAATTCCCCCAACCATCCTGTGATGTTGGGCCCTCGTTTTGAAAAGAGCGTCCCGCGTCGCCTCCTCTTCTCCGCCTCCCCCTCCCATCATCATCATCATCATCATCATCATCATCATCATCATCATCATCATCATCATCATCATCATCATCATCATCATCATCATCATCATCATCATCATCATCATCATCATCATCATCATCACCATGCCGAACCGTTCCTTGCCGTTCCGTCGTCGTGCATGATGAACTTACACATCGAGCCCTCGGTCCCCATCCCGCCGCTGGAGTGCAAGCTCTTGGACATCTCGGACCACGGCCCGGTCAAGACACTCATCCGCTCCCTTGAGACGATCTCCACGACGGAGCTACGCATACCATGGGAGGTGGCTAGGAACACGATGTTTCATGAGTTAGCTACGGAATGGATGACATATGCAAATGTTGCCCACTTCACTGGGGTTGACAAGCTGCTGGCGGCCAAAGCGGTCCTCAAGGTCGTCTCGATGAAGGCCCGCAATGACCTGGTGCAGAAGGGCGGCACGAACTGGACCACGCTGATGACTCTCACGACTGTGTCTCGTTGTGTTTGGCGCAATGACGTCCACCTCTACGACAAGCTTCTTCACCGACATCCGCACGCAGCTCGCCACATGGAAATCCACAGTGGCAAGGTCCGGCTACGGAACCCTATCCTCTTCGAGGCCAGTTTGGCCGAGGCCAAAAACAAGCAATTCAACGCGGAGGACTGCGAAGACACGCCCTCCCCCTCCCGCGCTCCGCGACAGCGTGGCGTCACGGATTCGGTGCGGCACAGTACCGGTGCGTCCCGGAGGAGCCGGAATGCGCGCTACCGCAACTTGTGGGTTGCATCCTCGAGGTTCGTGCATCTGTCCGGTTTCAAGGTTAGCTCCGCCAGCGACGTCTCGACCATCATCCGTGACCCTGTCAAGAAGCAGGCTGCGATCCACGACTACTGGGCCACTCAATTCCTCGCCAAGCCTACGTCCGATGCAGCACAAAGCGAATTGCTCGAACGACACGGCTGCCGTTGGGATGTTTCGGAACTACGGCCACCAGACACTGCGACGTACCGCACTTACCTCATGCACCGAGGTCGCTCGGCACCTGGGCCAGATGGCATCCCGTACCCGGCGCTGCTCAACTCCACGGTCATCGAGGCAATCGCGGAGGTCGCCGGGCTCTGTTACCAAGCTATTCTGCCTTACCGCGCGATGGCCTACTCATCGCTTGTCACACCTCCGAAGGGGCAGGATTACCACGACAACATTGAGGTCATTCGCACGCCCGAGAATCTGCGGCCGCTGAGTGGACGAAACGCCGATGCCAAGGCTATAGCAGGGGGCATGGCCCTGCAAATGCATCCTTTTCTATTTCGTCAAGCTCCGCCAGAGCAGCGTGGATTCATCAAACGCCGCCAGTTTACCGACAATATCGTGGAGCTGGACGCGCACATGGTCCAGGCGTCTTTCCGGCCTGCTGGAAGTTTCATTGCGATGGACTATGGTACTGCCTTCGTGTCCATGGCCCATAGCTGGTTGCTCAAAATCTTGCAATTCCAAGGTTGGCCCGAGTTCCTCATCGGCCTTTTCCATTCTATGTTTGATTTTGCTGCCACTGTTATCTACGTCGACGGCCAATGGATTCCCAGTTTTCTTATTTACACCAGCGTTTTGCAAGGCGACCCGTTGAGCTCCGTACTCTTCGTGCTCGGCACTGACCCCCTCGTCCTGGGCATGAGGGCCGCCGTGCATTCCAAGGGCATCTTCAGAATGTGCGCCGACGATGTGGGCGTCAGCCTCTGGGACGTCCACGCGTTGATCCCCGTCCAGAGTCTCTACGCCCTTGTCAAGGAGGCCACGGGGCCCGCCGAGAAGCTGAATAAGTGCGTGCTTACGCCGACGGGCTCCCGGTTTACGCCGGCCGTCGTGGAGTTGATCCGCGACTGGACCAGCATGTCCCCTCCTGGGCTCGTCCTTCGAATCGAATATTTGGGCATGATGCTCGGACAAAGTGCCGCCGCGATGCAGTGGGCGAAACCCACCAGTAAAGTCCAGCATCCTTTGGCCCAGCTGGGTTTATCACACGAATCGATGACGCAGAACATCTTGGAATACACCTCTCGTATGCAGCCAAGCCTCCCCTATAAGCCTCAGTTTGTGGACCCCCCAACGTGCTTGTCAGCAGCCAGGACTCCATCATCGCCAAAGTCTTTCGCTTCCCACGGGAAGCCGTGCCTCCATGGGCGGGGTACTTCATCGACGAGCTGGGCTTCCCGACGTTGATTCCCATCGAATGCTACGGCCTGTCCATCATGACGCGTTTCGCTTGGAAGACCTGCGCTCTCTGGAAGAAGTCCCTCGAGCTCACCCGGCGTCTTGTTGAACAACGTGGTAGTTTCGTCCAGGCCATTGGACCGCTCACGCAGAGATGGTGGAAGGCCCCACTTCTCGCCCTCAACCTGGAACGTGCTGCAGCAGCTCATCCGGACTGGCACCGGCAAGGACACCTTGCTGGCGTGCTCCGTGATTGGTCTCGCGGCCGGCTGCCGCCCAGCCGAATCCAGCGTGCGATGCAACGGGCAACCTTGAGGGAGTGGTGGGTGTCAGACTGGCCAGGTCTGATATCGCAGCGCTGGCAGAGCTTCACGTCAAATGACACGCTGTCTCTTGCTGACGCCGCTGCCGCCATCAAGAGCCTCCAGTCTGTTTCCAGGCCGCAACGCACACTGATCTTGAGGACATGGTGCCACGAATGGTTTACAATACGCCGGATGCATGAGCCTGTCCGCCATGAATGCTACATGTGCGGATTCCGGAATGCAGACCAACGGCATTATTTCAACTGTGACAGGTTTAGGAATTTTTCGAGGACTGGCCGGGATCGTCCCCATCTTCCGTACGGGAGCGACTTGGCATGACTTCGAAGTCCGGCATGCTGCGCACGGCAACGGCCCACAACTTCTTCCCCAGAGCCCCGAATCATCAGGGGTAGCTCGGGTCAGGACTAACTCGGGTTCGTTTTTCGGGAATCCAAACCCGACTTACCCCGGGCCCGAGTTACCCCGGATAGCTCGGGCGTCCAGGGCCTCGAATCATCAGGGGTAACTTGGGTCAAGGCTAATTCGGGTTCGTTTTTTCGTGGATCCAAACCCGCGTTACCCCGGACCCGAGTTACCCCGGATAACTCAGGCGCCCAATTTCCACACCATGAAGGACAATTTCAATCGCGGAGGCCGTCTGACCGCGGTGCGCCACAGTGCCGCTTGCGCCGCGCGCCGCGCCCTCGCCGAGCTTCTCTAGTCTGCAGACCGTCATTTTGCTGATCCGTGATCATCATCATCAGCAGCACCATCATCATCACCAACATCAACATCAACATCAGCACCATCATCATCAGCATCGTCATCGTCATCATCACCATCAGCATCACCATCAGCACCATCATCATCATCATCATCATCATCATCATCATCATCATCACCATCTTCAGCATCGCCGTCGTCGGCTTCATCGTCATCCTCATAGTCATCGCCATCGTCGTCATCATCGTCATCGTCATCATCATCCCCATGTCGGCACACCCTTCACACAGCTCGTGGCCCCGTGGGGAGCCCCACCGAAGGCCCCACCGAAGGCCCCAATGGCAGGGTCCGCGTGGCATTGCCGCCCCATGTCGGCACACCCCTCACAGAGTTCGCGGCCCCATAGGTAGCTTCACCGAATGCCCCAGTCGCAGGCTCCGCATGGCACCGCCGCCCAATTTCAGCACACCCTCGCACGGTCCGTGGTCCCATAGGGAGCTTCACCGAAGGCCCCAGTGGCAGGGCCCGCATGGCACCGCCGCATCTTTGTGGCACACCCCTCACACCCCTCACGCGTTTCGTGGCCTCCACCGAAGGCCTTATTTGCAGGGTCCACATGGCGGCGCCGCACCATTTTGGTGCACCCGTCACACGGTTCGTGGCCCCATAGGGAGCTCCACCGAAGGCTCCATTGGCGGGCCTGCATGGCGGTGCCGCCCTAATTTGGCGCACCTTTCGCACGGTTCGTGGCACCAGGGGGAGTTCCACCGAAGGCCCCAGTGGCAGCGTCCGCATGGCATTGCCGCACCTATTTCGGCATACCCCTCACACAGTTCGTGGCCCCATGGGGAGCTGCACCGAAGGCACCAGTGGCAGGGTCCACATGGCGGCGCCGCCCCATTTTGGCGCACCCCTCAGACGGTTCGTGGCCCCATAGGGAGTTCCAACAAGGCACCAGTGGCAGGGTCAGCAGGGCGGCGCCGCCCCAATTCTGGGGCACCCCTCACACGGTTCGTGGCCTTATAGGGAGTTCCACCGCAGGCCCCAGTGACAGGGTCCGCATGGCGGCGCCGCCCCATTTCGGGGTACCACTCGCACGGCTCGTGGCCCCATATGGAAGAACATGACAACATAACGGCCGCGCGCGGGGTTTGGGTCACCGTGGGCCCCCCTCCTCCGTCTCATGTAGTTTTCGGTACTCGCGGCTGCATATGGTTGGGTCCTTCGTCAGGCTAATTCCCCCAACCATCTTGTGGTGCTGGGTCCTCGTTTTGAAGAGAGCGCCCCGTGTCGCCTCCTCTTCTCCTCTCTTCCTCTCCCCCCTCGTGGTTCAAGGCTCACGGCTCAAGGCTCAAGGCAAGTAGGCCCCACGTGAATTTGCAGAGTAGCCACTACCGCAATGCCACCTTAGCGATGGCAGTTGATTGGAAACTGCAAAGGAATACTGCTCGCGAGCAGGTCCGGTCCGACACCCAAAGTCGTCGAGGTAGGCGGAACATGGCTGAATGCATACTAGTTCAATTGGAATCACTTGATTCGCATATCGCCCAGCAACGATCAGCACTTTCTTCTGTTGCACTTGTGTGTGATAAGATTTCAGATGTCACTAAATACATTGAGCACATGAATTGAATTTCAACAGCATGTTTTGCACATTGAACCAGGTGGCGGGCCGTCAATCAATTCATGCTTCAAAACACAGTGGAGCACCACTGCCAGCAGAGAGTCGATAGCGTTATGGACACAGCTTCTGCGTCGCATGGACGGCCGCAACCATCAGAACCACAATCGCTCGCCAGCAAAGTTGCCCTACTTTCGAACAAGGTGGATTGGATTGACATGTTGATTTCTACGTCACTGCAACCAGGCACTGGGCAGAAACATTTCGAGCCAGAAGGCGCGGGAAACGAGAGTCATCACAGCGACGATGGTGATGCTAGTTCTTGTGTGGCACATTCGGAGCCCCTGGATGGGAGTATCGGTGACAGAGATAGCGATCAGCTGGTGGAGTCTGATTCGGATGCAATCTATTATTCTGGAGTGCGGGAAGCGTTTTCAAAAACTTTGGCACACAAGCACGCAATGCGACGATTGACATCAAATCCTTGCACAGATGTTCTTTTCATTCTTGGGCGCCCCAAAATTTCAATCTCTCTTGCGATGGGAACGACGTACGCCTGCTGAACAAGTATAGCGATCTACTTTCTGCGTGCCCGCAGTGGCTGAAAACTGCTTTATCAAAGGATGCGTTAGAAAAGCACTATGGCAACATGCATCGGACACGACACATATGTGGCAGCGAGCGTGCAACTTGCTGCATGGCGGGACGGGTGACCCTCTGAGCAAGTCAGATACTTATTTAATGGTTTTCAGAGCAGCTTCGGCGTTGCGACCGGAAGGTTGCGGATGATTTCGATACGTATTCACGTATTTTATGGTGGACTTCAATTTCCGGGCAAGTTTGTGCGGCTACAGACGTCCCGACACAACGTTTGCACTACTCATGTGGATCGAAAAATCAAATGAAGCACACTACCGTTGACCAAGAAGTGAGAGCCGGCTGCATCATTTTCTGGCGCTCCGGCGCCCCC